TCCAATACAGTTATTCTCCGCTCTTACCTGCTGCATTTCGGAGTGCTTAGCCCAAATTATTTTGCCACCGACCACATCCATAGACATCGCCGGCTCCTCGCGGCCCACCTTGATGATGATGGAACCCTCATCGTAGCCCAGGGCCACATTGTTCGTGCCCCGCATGCTGGAAATAGTCCACACACGCTCGAACCCATAGTTGAGGCAGGTCTCCAAGCGATAAGTGCCAGAGTGCCAGATCCGCACGGTGCCGTCCTCGGAGCCCGTCAGAACAATCGGCAACTCAGGGTGGAAACACACAGCAGAGATGTTCTGTGCGTGGCCCTCCAAAGTCTGTACGCAGGTCTTGTTCTGGTAGTCCCAAATCTTTACAAGGCGGTCGTCGGCGCCGGAAATCAAGTAGGGCTTATCGCCGCCATGGTAGTAGTCCACACAGTTTACCCCCTTCTCGTGCCCCTCCAGCGTGAAGTTAGCGAAGTTCGATCCCAGCTGCCACACCTTCACTGTACGGTCCAGCGAGGCCGAGGCGAACGTGTTATTGTCCTTGGGGTTGAAGACGATCTGCATGACGTAGTGGGTGTGTCCTTCGAAGACCCGCTGACAAGCCCACATCTTTTCCCAGTTCCACAACTTGATGAGCATGTCGTCTGTGCAAAAAAGGAAGACACGAACGGGTGAGACCAAAACTAAAGCATACTTCCCAGCGGGGCCAAGGTAAATACAAGCGTTGGGTGTTGGGTGTCGGGTGAAGGAAATCGGAACAGAGATAATCCCTCAATCCCCACTGCCCTGCCAAGCCAACTCACTCACCACTGCTGGTTAGCACGAGCGGCTGTGTGGGATGCACGGCGATGCAGCGCAGGTAATCCGAGTGCGCCTCATAGGAGTGCACCTTTTCCAAAGTGTTGTAGTTGAAGACACGGATTTGCATGTCGTCAGACCCAGTGAGTATCCAGTTTTTGCGAGCAACGAAGCGAGCGGACCGCACTGGGACATCGCAGACCTCGAAGTCCTTTACCATTTGCTGGTTCTCGTAATTCATGATGTGTACGTGGCCATTGTAAAGAGCGCACAACATCCATGGCTCCGCCGGATGCAGATCAACGCACTTGACTCGGTCCGAGCGCGACGTCAGCCGGCGCTTGATGTCCAGTTTGAGAGGCATCTTCTTTCACGGCTCTGGCGAACTAGGGCTCTTCTACAATAACTATAATTTGATTCCGGCAACACGATCAGGAAAAACTTTGCTGCTGCCCCGAATTGGATACTCTTCTTCTTTCCCCTCTTGTTAATGTGTCAGAGCTGGCCTAGGGTTGTCGCGTGCCACGTACAATTGGCGGCAGTGTTGCCAACTGTCGGGCAGGCCAAGTTAAATAGCCAAAAATAGCTAAAATTCACAAATAATATAAAATAGAGAAAAAAAAAAGGAAAACATATCGTTACCTATTTCCCTAATTGCTAATCTGAACATTTGTCCTGTGATGTTTTGTCCGGACATGACATTTCACGTGCAAAACGGCTTTGTCTTTGGGTTTGGAGAAATACCTTAAAAATGACCAAAGCAATATTATTCAGTCATTTGAAGTAGACAATTCGGTCTCTTTCATAGCTTAAAAATAGTTAAAATTCAGTTAATTACAGCTATTTAATTTACTACTTAAAAATAACTTTGAAAAAGCAAATTTATTTTACAAAATAGCCAAGATTTCTAGTCTAGAAAAATAGCCAGATCTGTCTCGAAAATAACCAAATTGGTGGCTAAATAAACCAAACTACTTCATTATTTTTTTCACAGATTTTATGCATGCCAAAGTTTTCATAATGTAACGTTATGTACGTCCAGAAACAAAAATTAAAATAAATTGATTTCTTTAAATTAAGCGGGATTCTTGGATTTTTTAACGGGAAATGTACACTTTGCAAGATTTTTTAGGAAGAAAGCCAAATTGCAATCTGGCAACACTGGGTCCACGTCTTCTTTACAGCGTTTTTTTTTGTTTGCGAAGTTGAAATGTTTCAATAAATCTGTATTAAACATGCAATTACTTGGTGCCGGTGACGAAGTATAAAAGTAAACAGAGCTTTCTCTTATCGCCGGCTTAAAATCCTAGCTGCCAGATGGGGACCGCCGGACGGTTTGCCTACGTGCTCCTCCTGCTAGTGGCACTTGTTGCCGCTCAAAAAAAATCCTCGGCGGTGCAGGAGGACATCGTCGAGTACAAGGACTTCAAGAAGTTGCTGCGCACCAAAAACAATGTCCTGACGCTTTTTATTAGCAGTACAAAAGCTGCCGCCTCCGAGTTAAAAGTTTTTCGGGAAGCTGCGGAGACGATACGAGGAACCGGCACAATGCTGCTCCTGGACTGCGCCCAGCAGGATCGCAAGAAGCTGTGCAAAAAACTAAAAGTCTCACCGGATCCGTACACGATCAAGCACTACAAGGATGGCGACTATCACAAGGACTACGACCGGCAGTTGAGCGTCGGTTCCATGGTTACGTTCATGCGCGATCCCTCCGGGGACCTGCCTTGGGAGGAGGATCCGGCTGGAGACGATGTCCTGCACTTTAGCGACGCTACCACATTCACGAAGCACCTACGCAAGGACATTCGCCCCATGCTGGTGATGTTCCACGTGCCCTGGTGCGGTTTCTGCAAAAAAATGAAGCCCGACTACGGGAAGGCAGCCACGGAGCTGAAGGCCAAAGGCGACTATCTAATAGCTGCCATGAATGTGGAGCGGCAGGAGAACGCTCCCATACGGAAACTTTTTAATATCACTGGTGAGTTCGTGCATCGTTCGTATCAAAAGCATCTAACGAACAACACACTTCGTCACAGGATTCCCCACACTAATTTATTTCGAAAATGGCAAGCTGCGCTTTACCTACGAGGGAGAGAACACCAAGGATGCTCTGGTCGCTTTCATGCTGAACCCAAATGCCAAGCCGACCCCAAAGCCCAAGGAACCGGAGTGGTCAGCCGATACCAACTCGGAGATTGTCCATCTCACCACCCACGGCTTTGAGCCGGCATTAAAGGACGAAAAGGCCGCTCTGGTCATGTTTTATGCTCCCTGGTGCGGACACTGTAAACGCATGAAGCCCGAATACGAAAAGGCCGCCCTGGAGATGAAGCAAAATAAGATTCCCGGACTGTTAGCCGCACTCGATGCCACCAGGGAGCCGACCATTGCGGAAAAATACAAGGTCAAGGGCTATCCAACAGTCAAGTTCTTCTCGAACGGTGTGTTCAAGTTCGAGGTCAACGTGCGCGAAGCCTCGAAAATTGTCGACTTTATGCGAGATCCCAGGGAGCCGCCGCCGCCTCCGCCACCTGAGAAGAGTTGGGAGGAAGAGGAGGATAGCAAGGAAGTCTTATTTCTTGATGACGAGACTTTTAGTTCTACGCTAAAGCGGAAAAAGCACGCTCTGGTCATGTTCTATGCTCCATGTAAGTTGAAAAACCACTGACTTCCAAATTTTCGTGATAAAGTATTCTCCACGTCTTAAGAATATGCTGTTCATCATTAATAACAGTAACTTTAAGACTGAATTTTAAAAAAGATTCTTTCATGTTTGTTTCTGATTTTTAAGGGTGCGGACACTGTAAGCATACCAAGCCGGAGTTCACAGCAGCCGCCACAGCTCTGCAGGATGATCCGCGCGTGGCTTTCGTAGCAGTCGACTGTACAAAGCATGCCGCTCTTTGCGCAAAATTCAATGTTCGCGGCTATCCCACCATTCTGTATTTTTCGTACCTCAAAACCAAACTGGATTATAATGGAGGACGCACCAGCAAGGATTTCATAGCCTACGTAAACAATCCGCCGAGCACGGCCGAACGCACTGAGCTGTGATACGCTGCCGCCTAGTAAAACTAATGTTCTCTCTAAACTTAACAATCTCTTTTTGTATTCAACTATGAGACCTTTGATAACCCTAATTTCGTTTTATTAAGTGCATTTATATAGGTTAATTTTTAATTACCGAACAATTTCAAGAACAGTGTAACCTTAATTTGTATTAATCGGACTGTAAATCTACCATTAATTTCATAACAAAGTCGAATAATAAAATGAATATTACGATTACCCAACTAAACAAGTATTGTTTCAATAATTCAAGCCCCAAATATAACGCCCCTGAGTTGTCATCTCTATAAGTTATCTCATAAGGGTATATATAGAGATATTAGATTTGCGGATATTATTATAGCAAATGTATGTGTGTATCGTTGCAAGTCCTTTTAAGTGAACAATGATTTCCATAGCCTATTTTTGGAGACTAAGAAAATTTAGCTAATAAAATCAATACTGGTAAATAAATAGAAGTACGGTCTTTGCTTGCTCAAACGATTTTTTTCAAACACAGAGCGTTTGGAACGAGGAGTTTAAAGTTTAAACTTGTTTTTGCGATTGTTTACGCTATTTAAATCCATAATAAAATGTAAAATAATGGGCATCAAACAATGTTGTTTGGGAGAAAGTCAACTTGAAAATATATACATATGGTGGACATTTCCACAGAAAGGTTCTCCAAAATCTTTTTTTGAAATATAGTTACAGTAAGAAGTGTTCCAATTGATCAATCAATTTAGAAAGAATCTAGCATATTCTAAAACAGACTAAAACAAACTCTTTTTTTGATGAAAAACATCATATAAAAGGGCATGTTTTGTTTTGTTTTGATAATAACTTCTAAACCAGAGGCATTAGGCTTTCATTTTTGCTTTCTAACATCACTCGGAGGATGCAAATAAACGTAAAAGGAAATATGCAATTACAAATAACGGTACCCTTTTGATTTGCATTGTCGCTTCCTTTATGCAAATCTTCTTCAAATTGAATTTTAAAATCGAAAAGGAAATTTAGATTCGAACAAAAACTTAGAAAAACTAAACATCCCCTACACATAATTCGATTCAACCGATTGAAATGTTATTCGCCTCCAATTTTGATGTTTATTTTGCCTTTTTTATTGTACTTTGTAATTTCAATAATTTCTAATTTCGTTTAAAACAATTTCTAAACTTATATATTATGATTTATATATTAGTTATATAGATACATATCTTTATATTTTAAGTTCCTTATGCATGTGGCACACATTCCAAAAGCTATTGCACACTTGCTCTGGTATTCTTAGGTTTTTATCTCACTTATTGCTCGAAATGGGTTTTCCTCGCCAAGTTCAAGGAGGAACGAGGTGTAAAAGTGGACTTCAAGGGATCGGGTGTGAATAGGAGCGACCATTGGGCAGGCGATAGATAACACTTATTGACCATTTCAGCGCTCTGATTTAGAGTCACCAGTCGTCTTAGGCAGACGGCTCAAACTGCCCAACCAGCTGCCCCGTTGCGCATTGGCCGTATACTCGTCGTTGATCAGGGCGAAGCCATTAAACATGTCCTTCATCTTAATGGCCCGCGAATAGGAATAGTTCTTGGTCGCCAAGTACATTTTGGTTAGGAAGTCAGGCATCTGTTTCTGCGTCACCCAGGACTTGATGTTCTGCGGTATGGGTATGCCTGGATCGTCGTAGTACGTCAGCACAAAGTGTAGTCCCGGCTCCTGGAAGCCACGGAACGGCTTGATTACCATCAGGCTCCAGTAGTCAGTCACTCTCACCTTTCCAGGCAGTGCCGGGTACTTGCTGTGAGTGGCATTACGGTTGCAAATGAATATAAAATTTTTTTTATCGTCCTTGATGAATCGCCGGCAATAGACGTAGTCACGATTGGCAAATAGTCGCGGCCACTGCATCTCCCAGTAGATGAGATGCGAATTACTGCCCGGCACGGGATCTTCACTGATTAGTTCCAATCTCAGTGCCGTGTCGTCCCACTGGCGGCGGTAGTCCAAATCAGTTTGCACATGAAGAAAATCATCGGCCGTAACGTCATCATATCGGGCATACACCTGCGGTAAGAAAGTAGGAAATGGAACATAAGACTACCATATTACATAAAGCCCCGGCGTAATAAAATTACCTTGTAGGAGTACATGGATGATCGCTCCTCCCGCCGCCATATGCTGAACTCATTCTTGCTGAAGTAGGGCTCCCACTCGTGCTCGTCCTGAGACTGAATGCAGACCGTGCCGGCCGGGGCGTCACGAACGTTGATATCTAGGGATCGGTCGCAGATGTTGGCGCTGGCCCCCGCATCTGCATCCTTCTTGGTGGGGGCGCTCGGCGTCGCCTTTGTTTGGCTTTTGCGGCATCGCAGGTTGCCCAGCTGGCAGTAGCAGTATTTCATCTTTTTGGCTTGGCATCGCTGACAGAGCTGGTTGTGGGGCAGCGTGTTAATGAACTCAATGTCCCGGCGGCACAGGTCGAAGTTCGAAAGGGCCAGGCGCTCTTGGTTCCAGTCGAAGCCGTCGCCGCCCAGCCTCTTGATGTTCAGGCCAATAAGGCCCACTGCACTCAGCACCATGCCCCTGAGCGGAGGATGTAACTCCCGACGGTAGTAAGCGCGCCACAGTTGTTTCAGGCCCTGGGTGCCGTACACCGACTGGTAGAAAGTTAGGAGCTGCTGGATGCGGCGTGACCGCTGCGCGAAGATCGACTCGCATTGATAGCTCCAGGCGCGCAACGTCTCCCTGGACTGGTTCTTGATGGCCAGCACAAATCGATTGAGCAGCATACCGGCTAATTCAATTTAGTAGGTGCCTGCGTCTGCCGTTCCGTCCGGTCTGCTTGCATAACAACGGCACTCTCAGGCAGGTGCGGCGGCGGCTTCACTGTTAGTAATGTTCCTCTGCTATTACTGTAAGTTCTCACACACTTGTATTTTTCATATTTGTCGCCTTAGAACTTGGAGAATTTAGTATTTCGAGGATCTGCCTATCGTTTTGACGGAAGTTTAAGGCATATGTGTTATGTTCTGGCCGGGCTTATCATGTTTGAACAAAAAAACGTGCAACCTGCAATTGCCTTCTGGTTATGTTGTTGCTGCGCTGCTCTCTCTCGTTGTTGTGATGATTGTGTGCCGACAGTGTGGGAAAACGTGCCGATAATAGTCTCGGGAACGGAACCTTATACTTATTGTACCGTGATCCCTAGTTTCCTTTCCAACTTAAATCCTGCTAGTGAGCGTTTAGATTGACCGAGCTATTAAGCACTATGTATTTCATACTTATAAATGTGACACAGAACATTCCCTATATTTTTTTTAATATTCATTGTTTCTTTTAACTCATGTGTTAAGAGTATAATGCATTTTTTAAACCACTCATGAAAGTGTCGAGCCTATGCTAAAAATCAAACAGGGATTTTGCATTTCATTTGTTAACTTTAGGTAAATATTCGATTATTTTATTTAATTTTAACATTTCACTACAGTTCTCCAACTTTTCCCCACTGTGCCTTCTGATTGACGTTAGTCAACACTTGCCCGAGAAACTCGTGGTGCCCGAGCTAATTGTTTTTCTGCGGATATTTTCTGTTCGATTTAATGTGTGAAACTGCACTTAAGGCTGAAAGGTATCTAACAGAAACCAAGCAGGATGTCTATGCGGCGCCAGCGCATCAAGGCCCCGGCCAATCTGTCGCTGATCAAGCGGAAGCCGCGGAAGGAGGAGCTCTCAACGCTGAAGGTGGAACCAGAGGAAAGGGCGGTGGTTGAACAACCGCCCACTGCGACCTTTGCGGAGCCCGAGGGCGCTGATGCAACCGCCTTCAAAATGCCCGTCAGCTCTGCCGGCCATCTGGAAGAGGTACTTCACTCGGACATCGAAGATAACGTAATTCAAATGGACTTGCAGAAGACAACCTGTGGCTTTCCCATGTCGCCGGGCAAGGCTCAGGCTCGTCAGCGTGTGCGTCCCACCCCGGTGTTTGGCCAGCGTCGCAACAGCTTTGTCGGCTCCCCGATGGCCGGCGACTACGACGGTGAGTACCAATCGCCAGCTACACCGACACGGCGGGAGCGTTACCTCAGCGGTTCATCGGCGGGCACTCCCCAGCAGCAGGTGGCTTCGCCCATGCCACCATCGCCGTTTAAGTACTTCCCGCCTGTTATGAGTCCGGGGGTGGGACGCGTTCGCACGGAATCAACTTGCTCAACGTACTCGGAGGGTGGCGGCGGTAAACAGCGGAAGGGGGACGCTTCCCAGAACCAGAACGCCCAGTCCGGGCAGAGAGTAAACGCGCGAAGGGACTTTGAGACCAGATTCAACAAGGGCGTGCCCGATAAGTCAACATTTAAGATGTTGGACATGATCTTTTACAATCCGGAGAACAATCCAATGGTCCCAAAACAGTCGGTGACTATGATTAAGGATGAATCCAACGGCGAAGATGCAAAACCCTCAACGGATCAGCTTTTGGAGCCGAAGGGAGAGGCCGCAAACTCAATGCCAGTGCCGCAGTTAAAGCTTGATGCCAATGGTGAGATGATTATTGATGAGAAGACGTTGGAAATAGAGACCACAGCCGAGGTGGAGGCGCGAAAGGTGTTGGCCAACTCTTCCCTTATCTTAATGGATGAGACAACAGGCGACAACGGATTCTATAAACGGCACAAGCGCACATCCTACTGGACGCCCGATGAAACAGTCCGCTTCTATCAATGCCTGCAGATAATCGGTACGGATTTCTCGCTAATGTGTCAGATGTTTCCAAAGCGTTCGCGGCGCGACCTTAAGCTTAAGTACAAGAAGGAGGAACGCACCAACGGGCGGTTGATTAACAAGGCTTTGCTCTACCCAAAAGCCTTCAATATTCAGGAGCTAAAGGACCAGCTGGAGGAGGAGGATCGCGAGCGAGAGGAAAATGAGCGGCAATGGAAAGAAATTTTGAACGCGTCCCCAGGAAATCCAAAAAAGGTTTGTTGTTTCTTGTGACCCGCAATATGTATTATTAAAAATCTTTTGGAATTTATTTATTTATTTTCGATTCCACTTTTTTCTAGCGCCCGAAAGCACAGAAACAAAGCAAGGCATCACGTTCAATGAACGATGCCGATATTGTTTACGAGAACGAGCATGTGACAAATAAGAAGCTAGGAAAACAAGCCTGGTCCAAAAGGCGGAGGGATTTGGAGGCGGACGAGAATGAGAATGAGGGGAATACCGCCGCTAAGCGAAAACCAAAATCGCGACGGGAAGGGCTTCAGGCGACTTCCGTGGAAGAACCCATAAAGCAAGAGAACGCTATAAAAACAGAACAAAATGGATGCCATTTACCAACAAAAGGAGAACTACAGGCTGAGCTGAATCATCTTCTTATGGATGAACCACCAGCGGCGTTAGAAGTAGATGTAAGCAAGTCACGTGATAAAACCATCATCAATTTGGATGACGGAACCCTGTCCTATGTTAGAGACGTTGAGCCCGGAAATGAAGCTACCAATCGCCAGCCGGAGACATATTATATTAATTTTATTGAAGACGGACACTGTCCTGAAGTCATAACGCCGGATGACCACGATCCCATTCCGCCTTCAACAGGCGACCCAGATATCGAACAAATACTAGCCGAGCTGGCAGAGGGATCCTTGGCTCTCGTGTCGTCTTTGGATCCGGAGCATGAGGATCGAGTTCTCAACGAAATCTACATGCTGAACAAAAAGACGGGCGAGTTGTGCGAAACCCCATTAGATATACCCGAGCATATTGTAAAGTGCATAATGAATGTTATGCAGCTGGAGGACTAACACACCATTTTCTATTATTAGTTTAAGTTTTGTTATAAAATATACAACCCTTATTAAAGCATTTTGATTGATGCATTTTAAAAAAGTTTGATTCAGTGTTCTCTGACCGCATTGTAGGATTGTTGTTTTAAGAAAACTGAACTCTTTCAACAAGCTATAGGGAAGCGTTTTGGAAATAATTTTCAATAATATATGTACTCTACAAATTAGAAGCACAGTTCCAACATTTTCATATTGGTAATATCGGATAGCACCTACATACCTTAATATGCTGAAAACAAATTATTGCTTCTATTTTTTGTATAGCTTATATAGTATTTTGTCAACGTGTTTTTTACAGGGACCTTAAAACTTAAGGCTTAAATAATGATTTTCAATGTCTTCTTTAAAAAAAAAATCATCCACTTGGAAAAGCTGCAGAAAAACGAATTATACGAATTTGAACGCTCTTTAATGATTGCTGAAATCTAGATTTTTATATATTAAGCCACTTTTAATTATAAATTTTTTAGTTTTATGTAATCGCTCAAAGAATAATTATAATTATTTTAGAAAAAAAATAACATTAAAAAAATAATCATTATATTTTAAGCGATATTTTATCGCTCAGAACTTTGCTCAACTGCAATATCTCTTTTTAAAGGGTTCTTTGACAAACAATTTTACATGATCCTGTGAAGCGAAAACAGACTGTTTTTTTTTTATCTGACAAAGAACTTAATATATTGCACTTTCAGGGAAACTCTAAACAAAAAAATAATTATTATTTTTTGAGTGCTATATTTTTTTGTTTAAAATAATAATAATTATTCTTTGAACGATTAAGTAAATATAAAATTAAATTTATCAAAGGTAAGGAAAGTATACTAAAATATATAATAAAATAAAATATAATCATTAAACATTGTGGTATTATTTTTCCACTTATAATGATTACGTGCCCTGGTTTTTTTTAGAATGACAAATTATAACAATTATCCAATTTGGTAGTGTTACTTATAAATCCGCCAAATAAAAAAAAAAAAACAATCATTAAGTACTCAGCAAACAAAATTGTGCTGTTTTTTTTTTTAATATTTTAAACTTTTTCAGAATTGTTTTAATACTTAGCATTTGAATTTATTATACACAACATTTTCAAGAGAAAATTTATAAATATTTATTTTTCCCAACCACAGTTCCGACGCCTTGCAGCACTAAAATGTTTGTAGTATTGAAACTGGCGACTTTGCAGCACTGGTCGTCTGACAGCTGACAGCTGTTTTTGTTGGCCGAGGCACTAGCAGCTATTTTATAAGTCTAATATCACATATTGGCAAAGCTAGCCATGGCCCAAGTTCCCTTGGCAATTGTCTCCCACAAGCGCCAGGTGTGCAGCTTGTACAAGCGTGCCCTGCGCAACCTGGAGGCCTGGTATGACCGACGGTAAGTGCAGCTACCAAGGAACAGCCCATGGTTATATAATGACGAAGTGCATCTTGGCCGTGTCTTACTCCCAATTAGCAATGACTACCGCTACCGTGCTGTTCAGCTACGAGCTCGCTTTGACGAAAACCGCAGCAAGGATTTGGGCGAGGGCATTCGACTGCTGGCCAGCGGCCAGAAGGAACTCTTCGAAACGAAGCATTACCAGCCCAGAAACTGTAAACAAAAGTCACTTTTTGTGGTGCATTCGGATACTAACATAATTTCACTCTTATTTATGTAGTTGCCAACAGCGCTGGCGGTTGCGCATTCGAGCGTGAAGTTATCCCGCCGGACTGGCTGCTGGACTATTGGCATCCCCTGGAGAAGGCCCAGTACCCCGAGTACTTTGCCAAACGGGAACAGCGCAAGAAGGAGTACGTGACTTGGTGGGAGAAGCAATATGGCAAGCCGGATCCTAAGGACCTTGGACACCACTAACCGCCTAGCCCTTAAAAGTACTGTAGTCAAAAATCCAATCTTTGTCCTAAAGAAGTAAATCTATTGGAGCTCCTCAAAATGCTTTTTGGTTTGCTAGCAGGGTGTCATCAAACTTGCCAAAACTTGGATCGAAAAATATAGTATTTATTTTTCTTTTAAAAAAACCGAATATCCATTCAGGAAGTCAATGTTGCAGTTGCCTCAAATATCCAATAACTTCTCCAATTTAAAATTCATGAGAAATGCGAGATATTTATTATATATGTACATGTAACATGTTTGCATGTGTACATATGTAGTTACCATACAAAAATCTAAGTTTAATTCTGTAACTCGAACTCTGAACGATTTAGATTGCGATCCGAGCAAAGTGAAAGTTAGACGACGAGTCCTATATACTTATTAATAATTTTATTTAAACATATGTATGCATATATGAGGAGGGATTAGCTCGTGCTAAAAGTGTGTGGGGCGTGTGTACTGTGGGGGGACGTCCTTCAATTGTCTCAGTTCAGCTCATTGGGGTCCAGCCGCGGGCGCTTTTTGCTGTTGCCATTGCCGATTGGTGTCGAGCTATTGTTGCCATTGGTGCCATCACCACCGTGCTCTCGCTTCCGCTGCAACGTCTTCTTGTCCCACTGCTGTGTGAGATAGCGCAGCAGCACGCAGCGCTTATCCATTACGATCAACTGCTCAGAGGCCACCTCCTCGGTGGGCAGGTAGACGGAAGCCCGCTTCTGCGATGTTCGGATACCGTGCTCGTTGCTCAGGTGAGTGAAGTTTTTTGAGTCGTGGGTGGGCAGGCCTTTGATAAAATCACTCACTGACATTCTGCTGCGAAGTTTGCTGTCGAGCGAGTAGAGAAAAGAAGATTTCTAAGACACTCTAATAGTCAGTGTGCAGCCCTATCGTTATTAGCTTACAGTGCTCTGGCTTAACTTTGATGATTGCAGGGAATTCCTTTTTTCTTTTTATTATAATTTCTGCCCTCAGGCCTTGGAATCTTTTGTTGTTTTGCTGGTGGTGGAATAGGAATGTGACACTCAGTGCTGTGAATTGAGCGGGGACTGCTGCAACGCTTTCCAACACTGATAGCCAGTGCTGCCAAGGTAATACCAGCATAAAATAGATTCCTAGGCAAAAAAAAAATTTTAAAGTTTTAAATTGGATTATTAAGAAACGATCTAAAACTAACAGGTGATATAAGGATACATATTTACACATAGCATATAAATATTTCATTTTAAGAAATCGCAAAAAAAAACAATATTTCAGATATGAAATAATTAACATTACTTAAATTATAAATAAACTATAATACTTTTTGTATATTAACCAATACAAATATTTACAGTTTTATAGTTGCAGTCTAACATTCACAGCTTTACATTTTTCTGTACATCTACCGCTGATTTCTGTGGTAGCTATATGATATAGTCGTCAGATGTTCATAAAATTAAGGCAGAAATTATGAAAAATGGCAATGTTTTAGAGTAGATGAAAATATGTTGAAAAACAGCGAAGTTATATAATATTTTTTTCTAAAAATATTCCTATGAGAGCTATATGATAGTCGTCTGAATTGGTCCGTTCCATTATAAATAGTATTTATTCTTGTAAAGTTTTTAACTAAATTGAATTTAAAAAACCGCCGTATGCTTTAATTCTATCACATAATGTAAAACGGGAGATAGAACAATAAAGAGCACAAAACCCAGAGTTTATCGTAGTAGTTTTGTTCATTAAAATGGTAAAATGGTACACTTAAAACACGTTTGGTCTGGAAGGAAATATGTATGTCCTTAAATTTTTTTTATAGAATTGTAATTCTACTTTATCCAAATGAGCAATATTTAAGTTTCAACTTTTTGAAGCTTATCCATTTTCAAATGCTAGATCTATCCAGAAATAAGCTAATTAGACAACACTGCTTAAGGCTCCAATTTTCAAATTCTTACTTATCTGAGGGTTTAGTTAAGTCGAGATCTTATTGGTCGTCACGATTTTATAATTTAAACTTGGTATTACTGAACGCTCATACAGCTGTGTTCACGGAAATAGCAGTGCCCAACGACCTGCACGTTTAAGATCGGAAAATCCTGTTACAAACACTATTTTCATAAATTTTTTTTTCATAAAAGCTTAGTATATTTAATTATTAACAATACCACAATCATTTAATTTAGGTAACATAAACCCTTTAGAAGATATAGCTAATAACAACAAAAAAGGTCTATTTTATGCCGATCATTGAAATAGCAGTGAAAAACTAAAATTCTTCATAAATTTAAAAATTTCGTATAAGAAACCTATTTCTTCTTAAATTCTAATTGACTATGATCTAATATTTTGTTAAATAGCCTTTAGAAGCTATCATAGCCTCATACCTTGGTGGCAGGAAGTCCACCAAGTCTTAGCAACGCTTGAGGGGATTATGGTCTCATTCCTCCTGCACAAATTGCCAAAGCTGTGGCTTAGAAGTCGGAAACTTCTTTAATACGTAGCCCTTGATGTCCCCCATAAGTTTTCGATCGGATTTATATCCGGGGATTGTGCAGGCCATGGCATTGCATCCACTTTTCCATTAAGAACCCACTCCTTGGCCACCTTGCTGGTATGATTAGGGTCACTGTACTGCTGAAATGCGCAAATTAATGGAATATTTTCCTCAGTATACGGCTGCAAGACAGTTTTTAATATTTAGACATAAACATAATGGTCTTTGATCCCACCGATCATATATACGGGACATAAAACGTTGTATGAAAAGTATACCCAAACCATGATTTTTAGGCCACCGTGTTTTACTGTCTTCAGCGTATGGTTTGGGGGGTACTATGTATTTGGAGGTCGACGGTCATATTGTCTTGTCCTATTCCACCAAATAAAACCAGTTTGGAGTCATTTGTCCAAAGGATATTACGCCATTTGAATAGTGGCAGTTCAAGTGGCTATTGGCGAACTCGGAGCTGGCCTTGATATGCCTTTAACCAAGCAGTGACATTTTCCATGGACTTCGCGAATCTAAAATTTATTCAATAAGTCCCCGGCGAATGGTCCCATGACTGATTCCCATGCCAATTCCCGCTCATATATCCCTAGAGGACGCAAAAGGACGAGCTTTGCTGAAGCGAAGTACGCGTCGAGCCTGTACAATTGTGGTTTTGCGAATCGTACCTCGGTTTTTTTGGGTTCGGTTCATATTACATGACTTATAAACTATTTTAAAAGAACAATTTGAAAGATTTAGAGACTCTTTACATGTTTTGCTCTTCTTTCTAGGCTAAGTAATCTGATACCTTTCTATCATGGAGCAGTGAGGTCCTGCGCCCACTAAAATAATTTTTTTGCGTTGTAAAGGTGTATTATAGTATAAACTATAATAACGACCTTAATTAAAGTCATTTTTTACAAAATTAAAAGAAATTTCGGCACTTTTTGCGAAAGAAAATTAAAAACTGCTATTTCAGTGATCGGCCAAAACGAGCTGCATATCTGAAAAAATAGCAATAAAACATAAAAATAGAGCAAATCTAACGGAATTTTTTCTCGATTCTTATCTTTATGTTCCATTTTACAAAAACAATGTGCAATAGATCAGCTTGCAAAAAGAAATATGTACAAAAAAACGTTTTGAAGTTGTTCCTCTGTCGCACTGCTATTTCAGTGAACACAGCTGTATATAAAAAATTATTATAAATGTTATTAAAAAACCACAAAAAAACGACCTTATGGTGATATCTATTTCTATAATTTAGAAAAATACAAAATATATACGAGTTTTTTAGCTCCGATTGTGGCGGTTTCCATCGCCGCGTCGCACCACATCTTTATACTCGTCCATGCGCCTCATACGGTCCAGATATTCCGGATCGTCCTCCTCCACCTGCTGTTCCTCGACGGCCTTTTCTTCGTCTTCCTGTTCATTGGGATCGCGAGCTGCAGCGATTGCCTGTGCCTGGTTCATTTTGGCCACTTTGTCCTCGTCAGGGAATATTCCTTCGTCGACGCGCTGCTGGTAGAACTCGTCGACGGTCATAATGGGCAAACTGGGATAGCCCAAGCCAAACACCGCTTTTTGCGCGGCATTGCGAGTTATGATAAATGGCTGCAATGGCTCCGGCTTGGGTGCTTGTGCCAGCTGATGGTTGTGGTGGTGTCCGGGACCGTGGCTGTGCCCATGTCCACGCGAGGTGGGAAATGACGACGCGGAGGGCTTTGGTTGTTGAAAGTGGGAAGTATCAACTTCATTAGCGGCTCCGCCACCGGACATACGAGCAAGGCGCATTTTAGCCAGCTCCTTCATCATCTGCAGCGATTCCAATTCCTGCTTGGAGTCAATGATGCTCTTGTCCAAATACTTGAGGAAGAACTCCCGTCTGACCTCGTCGTCAGCCGTTTTGTTTTTGATGGCGGCTTGCATTTTCCCTATATACTTGTTTATCTCCTGCACTCGGCGGTATTGGGCGATTTTGTCGTTACGATTGAAAGCTGCCTCCATAAGCTGTCGTTGCTCACTCTTTTCGCTCGCCTGCTTGTCCTGTCCCTCCTCCTTCGATTTGGGAGTGTCGCAGAGATCGTACTCCTGGCAACGCTGCAGGTGGTCCTTGAAATATATCACTCCCAGGTCCAAAGCATTCGTGTCGTTGGGGTTGTTGATCTTTGTGGTTAGCTTGGCCAAAAAGTAGGGCAAAAGCATGAAGGGCAGCGAGTCCGTTGAGACTTCATCGATCAGCTCGTTGGCACTGAACATGCTAACTTGGTTCACGATGACAGTGGCCTCCTCGAAAAGGCCCATTGCCGTCTTGACCTTGCTCTGTTCAGGAAGTAGAAGTGTCAGTTACTAGCAAAGTCTTTGGCGTACTTCTTTACCTGGAACTCGCTGCTGTTAAAGGGCAGCTCAGTAACTTCCAGCTCATCAAGTATATTCCAGCCGCTTAGGAAGATATCTGAAAGCTTCTTGTCTTCGCCCCCAGCTGCACCATCAGCTGTATTACCTTCAGCCATATTTAATATCTATATATCAACAATAACAATTTACGAAAGGTGATATAGCGCAGAAAAATCTAGCAGGCCGCGAACTACAGCTGAGCTAGAAAGTATAATCGATAAGCCGATATTTGAAATTGTGCGATACATCGATATACATTTTTTTTTAACGTATCGAGATAAGTTCTAATCGTTAGAATCGGTTAAATACGCAAGATAAGGTTACCACAGAGCTTGCATCTGCATTCACCGTCCGTAAGGTTTTACCGTTCTGAAATTTCTCTTTTTGTACCGCATCCGAGTGCATCTAAATTTAACCACCGTTTGTTGGGGATAGTTAGGTGATAGTTTTTCGGTGCAACTCTGATTTCTTCTTCTTAAAAGTGAAAATTTAACTATACACCACGAAAATGTAAACAAAGATAGCGTGAAGCAATTGTAATATGGAATTTAAAAAGTGGCGCCAAAGCTACAAGCATGCCCAAAACAGTTTTATGTTGTTTTTTGTATATTCGTGCTCCAAAATGTCCCCATTTGCTACTATTAAATATAATCCGTCTACCTCTACATAATTTTCTTCGTCGTCTAATTCATTTTAATTTAGTGCGGATAAAATATGTAGTTTTGCTGTTGTTAAACAGCCCAAATAGTTGATAAACTATTTATTTTACTCCCACATCGGCCGCTTTAGCTATCTTTGTTCAGATTTTAGAAGGGGCACAAGTGATCGATCAGCTGTAATTGGATGCGCATGCAAATGCAAGCCATGTGGGAACACGAGTTTCACGTTTATGAAAAATCCCAACTGCTCCACACAGATGCACTGAGTGGGAAGACAGTATTATACGATATTTTTAGTTATTTAGCAACTCAGTCAGTAAAAATATTACATGGGATACTACAAAAGTTGTATCCATGTCTTGCGATTACGTGTTGGTTGATAATTTAGCGTGTGACATTTTTGGGTCGTTCCCTTGACGGCTAGAAATATCGGCGATATTTTAGGTAATCCAGTCACTCAGTCGTCAAGGGAATATCCAGATTATATTAAAACAAAGGAAGAACAAAAGGAAAAACAAAAAACAAAAAAGAAATCAAAGGAAATCGATTGACATATTACCATATATATTATATAATGGAATGATTTAATACATCTTCCAAATGTTCTTCTTCTTCATACGGATAATAATCACGGTGGACTTATTGCTTTTTAATTACGAATTTAAATATACATGTAAATATCGACCTTATACTTAAAATGGTATGACGCGCGACGCGCTCAACAGATAAACATATAAATAATAATAATAATTGTAAAGCTGTAAATATAAAATATGGAACCAGATAAAAATGAAAAAAAGGAACCGAATGTAAAAAAATAAAAATGCCAAGCTACAACATAATTTATATTCAAATTAAATGGGCGTACTCCGGACCGAACGGCAAATTAATTTCCAACGGCGGGCACACTAATCCTCGCCAAGCCCTATATAAAGAGGCCCGCAGCCCTTGGCAAGGCACTTGCGCGACGCAAGTCCGACAGATTCGCTGTCACAGCGTTCAAGTGAGGCAAGTCTTCTGGCACTCATCGGCAGTTTCATGCATTTGAAGAACGTGAATAGACTTAGCTACAGATTTGTTTACAAACAAAGATTGACGTCATTTTTCCAGAATTTTACATTTTATTTTTAATTTTTTATTATATTCATTTATTCATTACTTTTATTTTTCTATTATCTCGTAATAAATCGGTTTTTTTAAGTTATACCATCTGCCGAGGATGCCATCATCCGCGTATAAGACGAATTCGTTTTCTGAAGCATGGACACGTTTGGCGTTTGGTAAGTTTTCTGGTAGACATCTGCCCGAGGATAAGACGGATAGGTTTTCTGAAGCGTTTGAGGCGTTTGGCAGTGGTCTTCTTAAAAGGGGCTCCTTTAATATATTTCGCCACGTTGTAGATGCCTGAAATATAAATAAATTAATATAAATAAAATAATAAACTTACTACTTATATCCGGAGCAACTGGTTTATGTGATTTAGACTGATGAAATGAAAGACCAACATGAGATTCGAATGCCCTATTACACAACCCACAGACAAATTCTTCTCCTACGCACACATGTTTCAGAAAATGTTGGTGGCATTTGACTCTCACCCTACAGTTGGGGCAGACGTAGAGTGTATTTTAAGCATTGTGCGCTTGCCTTTGCTCCTGCTGGCACGCGGTAGAACGGGCGTGGGCGGTAAGACTTCTTTGATGTCTGAGAAGTCAGAGACTCCGTCTCAGACTCTGTCTCCTCGTCTGACAGCTGCTCCTGTCCGGCAGGCCCAGGGCGTTCCACCGGCAAAACAGGCCGCTGCCCTATCGGCAGCTGCACCCGCTCGGCCGGCTCCTCCGGATCCTGCTAAAGGATTGCGAGGTGCTCCTCCTCCAACTCTGCCGAAGAGATCGCCAGAGACTCTGTCTCAGACTCTGTCTCCTCGTCTGACAGCTGCTCTTGTCCGGCAGGCCCAAGGCGTTCCACCGGCAAAACAGTCCGCTGTATTGGTGGCATTGGTATCTACCAACCTGTCAAAGAAGGCAGACAAGTCTCTACGAATTTCGCCCGGGCCTGCATTGGCAATCTTTCGCATCTCTTTAATTTTAACACAATTTTCCATTGTCAACCCTCCCGCTTGCGCAAGCGCAAAGCGAGAGGCAAACGCACATGAAGTTGTTCCAAACCACTCACAAAGACACTATTTTGGAAGAACAAATTTTCAAACGGAAAAACAATATAATTTTTAGGAAAAAACAAATTTATATACTTTTTTGGAGCACAAAAAAGAAACACGTCCAATCACTATGACAGTTAGGTCAAGGATATGGATGCACTGAATGACATATTATTATTAATAATATTTCTGGTACTGGGAGTACTATAATTTGTTTCTTTCATTTGCCGTGGATGTCATATTAAAACAAAAAAAAATCAATTTTTAAAGATGTCGGGTACGCAAGCACCCTTTTAAATAAAAGGTAAAAATTTAAATTAATAATGCCGTGGCTCGAAAACCGTCCTTCTAATTGGGATAGAAGGTGCCGGCAGAGGAAAGGTTATTCGGACTTGAAAATCGGGACCATATCGAGTTATCAATCCCTGGAAAAAAGTGACTTCTGCCTACTGTCTACTGTTAAGCTTTACAACTAGTAAGGAGATTTTCTGCACTAATCGAACTTCTTCGTTCAATTAATATAAAGTGTAGGGCTGAGAATGCCCGTTCGACGGACACTTGCGTTGCAGGTGTAGCCAGCACAACCTGCGCTAGTGCACTTATATGCGGAATCTTAAGTTCACGATCAATTCACGATCGCAGCTAAACGTTTAACGATTTGCTTGCCTATGCATGTGAGTGTATACCAATACATACCCAAAAGACTTTCTTCACTGACCACGGTCTTGGAAAAACAGAAGATAAAAAAACGAGTTAGCTCTGAGCGCGAGCGAGCTCATTCAAGAACCCATGAAATGGTTGCTCTCAGAGTCTTTTCGTAGAGTCAGAGAGAGAGACAGTTATTTGCAAGCTCTGACTGTACCTAACCAAGCGCGGTCGGTCTGAGCGGCAAGCTTTGGGCTGCAACCCGCTTTATACAGGGCCGAGGGGCGAGGATTAGTGTGCCCGCCGCTGGCAATTAATATTCCCGATTAGTGTTGCCATTCTGTCCAGTGTGACCATTTGCTCGCGACAGTTTGCGCGCACACGTATTCAAATTAATTCACAACTTGTATGTTCATTTCTTATATCATTTAATTCTTGATGATAACATACCTCAGTAAAATTGATAAATGTCCATCGTCTTTTTCTTGATGTTCTTAACTCCTTCATGTATACCCTTGCAGGGTATTATAATTTCAGTCTGAAGTTTGCAACGCAGTCAAGGAGACATTTCCGACCCTATAAAGTATATATATTCTTGATCAGCATCAAAAGCCGAGTCTATCTAGCCATGTCCGTCTGTCCGTTTCTACGCAAACTAGTCCCTCAGTTTTAAAGCTTTGAAACTTTGCACATAGTCTTCTATATACTCTCACTGCTATATATGTCGGAACGGGCCGAATCGGACGACTATATCATATAGCTGCCATACAAATGTTCGATAAATTTTAAGAAAAAAAATTATAACTGAACTGTTTTTTAACATTTTTGCACCATTTTCGAAATATGGCTAATTTATACTATTTTAGATTTTCTGTTTTAATTTTATGAAAATTGGACTACTATATCTTATAGCCGCCATAGGATCGATCGGGAAATGTAGAGAAAAAGTAAAGCTAGAAATGTAATAATGTAACTGTCAAACTGTAAAAATGTTATGAAACTCTGTTTTGCGTGTGTTTCAGCATATTATTTATGCTATATAAATATACAACTTTTATATATTTTCCTTTATTTTTTTCTAATTATTTAACCAGAATGGATCGATTCTTAATGATCCAATTGCAATCTACAAGGGTATACAAACTGCGGCTTGCCGAAGTTAGCTTAATTTCTTGTTCTTTATTATTAAGGGGGTATTCTCATTCAAAACCCGTTTTTGGACCCTTTTTAAAAAAAATCTTTTTTGAAAACGCAAAGAATAATTGAACACTTTTTTATTTCTTGTATTAATAAAGGTTCAAAGTAAATAAAAAAATATTTTTTCCCTCGATACGAGGGCAGTTTGAAAAGTAATGCGACTTCAAACTTGGTGGTGGAAAAAAAGGTGTCGTCATGGCGGCCACGATTCAGGGTCTCCAAAGTGTCCGAAATGAAAACAAAACAAGAAAGGAAGCTAACTTCGGCACGCCGAAGTTTGTATACCCTTGCAGATATTATTTCATTACATTTTACCTATATTATTATGTTTACAGTTTGACAGTTACAGTTTCGCATTCCCAGCTTTACATTTTCTCTACATCTACCGATCGGTTTATATGGCAGCTATATGATATAGTTGCCCGATTTTTATGAAATTTCTACCAAAATTCTAGAATAATAAAAAAAGCTTATATCTCTGTGTAGATGAAAAAACGTTGAAAAACAACGAAGTTTTAATTTTTTCTATTAATTTCCCGATCGTTCCTATAGCAGCTATAAGATATAGTCGTCCGATTTTTATGAAATTTTTATTGAAAATCTAAAATAATATAGAATGGCCATATCTAAAAAATGGTGTAAAAATATTGAAAAACAACAAAGTTATAATTTTTTTTCTAAAAATGTATCGAACTTTTGTATGGCAGCTATATGATAAAGTCGTCCGATCCGGCCCGTTCCGACATATATAGCAGTGAGAGTATATAGAAGACTATATGCAAAGTTTCATTCAGATAGCTTTAAAACTGAGGGACTAGTTTGCGTAGAAACGGACAGACGGACAGACGGACGGACAGACGGACAGACGGACGGACAGACGGACAGACGGACGGACAGACGGACATGGCTAGATCGACTCGGCTGTTGATGCTGATCAAGAATATATATACTTTATAGGGTCGGAAACGTCTCCTTCACTGCGTTGCAAACTTCTGACTGAAATTATAATACCCTGCAAGGGTATAAAAACGGGGTTATAATCAGTATAGATGTCATTCTCGGGTGGCGGAGGGAAATAATTTTGTAATTTTTTTTGACAAAATGGCGGCCATTCAAAAAAAATTTTAATTTCGGGTTTATTTTTTTGTTCAGTTCAGTGTAAAAAAATAGTAAAAAATTTTTTAAAATTAAAACCTTCCGTCACCCGAGAATGGTGACAATTGTGCGTCGACTCCATTTTGTTTTATGAAAATCGGTTCAGTTGAACTGGAGATATCATGGCCGCTAGTTCGAAAAACGTGGTTTCGAGATAAACGCGTTTGAAGTTTGAAAATAGCTCATTTTGCGAAGACCTTGCTTCTAAAGTATTTCGAATTTCTAAAAATCCTTTTGGGGACATATACACAACATTCCAAGCTATAAATAAAAAAAAAAAAAAATCGAAAAAGTGGCTCAATGAGAATACCCCCTTAATTTAACTAAAAGGGCTCGATTCTTAATGATCCAATTGCAAACTGCAAGGGTATACAAACTTCGGAGTGCCAAAGCTAGCTTCCATTACAAGTGGATTAAACCACTGTTTCCCAAATATAGACTTATTCTTAGTAATAAGTTGTCAAAATGACGCAAAAAAAAAATAAAATTTGTCTTGTTAGTGATCAAAATATTTTTATTTTTTTGATCAAAAAAACTAAAATAAATCATAACAATTATAAAACTTGTTTTTCAAAATTGGTTTTCATAGGAAGAAATGTATAAAAAAATAAATACACATATACATTTTACAACATTTACCTGTCAAATGCCGTTTGAATTATTTGATTATCTTATTTGGTTCAAAAGTTATGATTTTTGCCCCTAGTTTCGCCAATGTATTCCGGGTTTACGGCATTTCTAAAAACTTGTTCAGATCGTTTCATTAATAGCAATGGATTTAAAACTGGTTCCTATCTAGAAATCGTTGAATAATGTCTAAAATCCATATTATATTATTGTAACGGTCGGCAAGATTTTAGTTTGTAATATTTTTATATATACACCTAAATGCTGTAAGATTATTAAAGAAACTAAATGTTCTTGACGAATTTCGGGGACTTTTTATATTCATATCGATATCTGAAGAAAAAGAACCACGAACCGGAATATATGCGTTTTCCCTACAGAAATCTTCTTTTGAATTTACATCGTTATTTTTTCAAATATATTGTATGTAAAAATTTTTGTATATGGAGAGCAATTATCAATTATCATATTTTAAAAACTTTAAGAAGACGTAATGATTGATTTATAAAACAATAAACGCATCAAAAGCACCCCAAAAAACACTTTTTTGCACTTTTAAATTTAAATATTAAAGAAAACCTTACCTTAGATTACAAATAAGTTATTCATTACACTGATAAAGATTTTAATTATATAATAATTACTAGCGGACCCGGCGAACTTTATCTCGCCCCAACTTCGACTGATTAAAACAAATTAAATTGAGACGTTCCGTTTCTACTTTGACGTACATGTCGAAACAGTACTGTTGAAACATCATCAATCGATACGCATAAAAATTCATAGAGCTGACCTTATTCCTATCTTCTCCTAAAAATTTTAGGATAAAATTTGAATTCAAAATTAGTTGAGAATCAAAAAGAAGTGATGACTTTTAAACAAACCTGTCGTTGGATTGACAAATTTTTTGACTTGAAATCTGTGGAGAGCGATCTGATAAACAATATTTTTTGTTTTGTTATCCGGTGTAAAAATAAATAATGATGACGGCTTTCCCACACGCGAACAGGCTACGTATAGCTGGCCATGTGAAAAATATGGATATTCTAGATTTATCCCGCAGACTTCCAACGATTGGCCTGGCGATTTGTTGATGGTCATCGCAAATGCCAATCGAACTGGGAACTTAGTCGTCTTGAATTGGAATGGAAGATCTGTTGGAATAATAGGAATTCGTGGGATAAGAACTACCTCTCCTTTAAATTTGCCCTTGCATATGGCGCGGACTTCCAACATAAGTAGCTGGGAGATTGGTCAAACAACCGATGTTGGCCGCGTGTCCTTCAGTAGCGATAGCGTCACGCAAGTGAATGTACTCGTCTGACCGAACTTCGACTGATTAAAACGAATGAAATTGAGACGTTCCGTTTTTACATTGACGTACATGTCGACACAGTACTGTTGAAACAAACGGTGGTATCTTAACAGATGATTGTCAACATCTAGTCGAATCATCAATCGATACGCATCAAAATTCATAGAGTTGACCTTCTTATTCGTTTCTTCTCCTAGAATTTGAATTCAAACTTAGTTGTAGAATCAAAAAGAAGTGATGACTTGTAAACAAACCTGTCGTTGGATTGACCATCTTTATGTTGAAGTGATACCCATCTTCACCACGACAGAACATTAACGGATATTGAAGAGCATCATGTGACCGATAAGTCTCATAAACTCGCTGCACTTGGCCATTATCCCGACGGTTAAAAACAATATCGCGTTATTCCACATTCTCGCCAACAATCACCACTGCGTGTTCATTGATAGTGGGAGCGTTAAATTGTCTTGCATGGCTACCAGTGGGTCTTTGGTCAGCGCTGATAATGATTTTGTGTTCGTCATAATGCATTATATCCAATGCAGTTTTGAACAATCTGACCAATTCATTATGCTCATAGAGAAGATTTTGCAATTGTTCGATAATTTCACGTTAAGTTTCAGTAAAAATTGCACAGCGGTGATTTAGTTCAACTGCCGAATCACCAATGAAATAGATCTGAAGGAATTTAAGATCTTTGTTTTGTGGTGATAACAAAGCGCCCGCTCGGTGGTGAATTTGCCCTTGAATCTGAATGTTGGGATGCAATTTCGAAAAAATGTGAGTTGTTAATTTTGATAATAAAGAGACGTCATTACCTAATAACTTGGATTGTAGCCTGATTGATGAAAAACCTCGACTCCAAATGACGTAATTGGAAAGCATCCGTTATATTTTTGTGCAAGCTTTAGGAAACTGTTTGATTGGGCTGAATTTCTATATAGTAGCGAATACAATGGCCCTGGTGGATGAGCCAAAACGGGCAATTTAATTTTGCCACCTGCACAGCATAAGCCGGGGGTTTCCAACCGAAACTTCAGTGCATTGCAATCCTAGACAATGAACCAATAACAACGCAGGTAAAATCCTTGTAAGATGTTTCAGGATTGTATGCGAATGCAGCGCGATTCAAGTTTTCATTTGCGGCTCGTCTTTCTCTATTATTATGTCGGGCTTGAGGTGATCTTTGTGGAGCGAGAAGCTGTGCCATTTGGGCACGTATCGATGCATTTATTTCTGTACGTTCCTCTTGCGTCCGACTATTACGGGAATTCTGAATACTTATTGCATTGCGTGAACGCCGTCCAAGTCTTGATCGTCTAACAGCAGGCAATACTTCCAATTGGTAATGCTTCGTTAGCTCGATTTTTTTGTTTAAATATTTTTTTACCGAGTTCATTGATACACAATTTCAACGCAGCTATGATCTTTGTAGGGTGTTTCAGAATTTTACATACAACAGTGTGTCCATCTGTTGAGCCGCTAGCGACTTTTCCGGAAGGACTTCCCAAAATTTTCTTACCTTCTTACCTTCTTCTGACAATTACAAACAACTGAAAAAAACTTGAGCCAAATCGGCCCAGCCGTTCTCTTGTGATGCCATTAGTAACATTTTTTGTCTCCATTTTTATATATATAGATTATATGCAGAAAAAAACAAAGTAATGCCAACTTTCAATAAATAACCCTTATATTACATATTATATTTTACTGTTTACAGTTACAGTTTTACATTCACAGCCTTACATTTATCACTACATATTCTAACTATTTTTCTTATGGCAGCTACATGATATAGTCGTCCTATTTCCATCAAATAAATACAGAAATTTTAAAATTACAAAATGCCATGTTTTTAACTATGTGAAAATATAAATATATAAATATGCCAGCTTCGGCACGCCGTAGTTTGTATACCCTTGCGACAGAAGACAGACGGACATGGCTAGATCGACTCGGCTATTAATGACGACCAATAATACAAGGTATAAAATTATGAATTCCAAGCTCTTCTGAAATATTAATATAATAATTTGTAGTAAATAGGTGCTGGTCATTTTAATCTTATTTATATTTATTATTTTATTTTTATTATCTAACAGGACAGAAATACCGAAAAGTATCGATTATTAACGAAATTTTCTAAGATCCTTCTCTAACCATTCACTAACTTGCACTCGATATTGTGATCACACCTGGATAGACTACATAAAGACCATCCAGAGAGGCTATCTGAATAGATTATCTAGGGATCGCCATTAGGGAATGTATATACATAAATGTACAAATTTAAATTTATGTTTTCTTTTGTAGTTTTTTTGTATTATAATAATTACGTCTAGTAAATAAGCCGACGTTTACTCTCTAATTTATATCTGCAAAAAGTATTTGCACATAGTTTATAGTTTATGTTACGCCCGTTCCCCAGTGTGGGTGACCATATGTATATTAAGATTCTGATTTCGTGTGAAAGACTTCTGGCAGTGGCTACACTTGTAAGGGCGTTCTCCTGTATGGCTCCGAATGTGTCGCTGAAGACTTTCTTTTCGTGCAAACCTATCCGGGCAGTGGGAACACTTGTAAGGTCGTTCTCCTGTGTGTATACGGATGTGCAGTTGTAGAGTTCTGCTATGTGAAAAAGCCTTCTGGCAATGGGAACACTTGAACGGTCGCTCCCCTGTGTGTGTCAGAATATGCTCCTGTAGAGTTCCTTTTCGAAAAAATGACTCCTTGCAGTGAGAACACTTGTAAGGTCTTTCTCTTGTATGGGTCCGGATGTGCTGATCAAGAGTTCTCTTTTGGGAAAAAGTCTTTTGACAGTGGGAACACTTGAACGGTCGTTCTGTGTGAGTATGAATGTGTTCCTGGAGAGGTTCTTTTCGAGAAAATGACTCCTGGAAGTGGGAACACTTGTAAGGTCGTTCTCCTGTGTGGGTGCGGGCGTGTAGTTGAAGGGTTCTCTTTTGGGAAAAAGTCTTTTGACAGTGGGAACACTTGAACGGTCGTTCTATGTGAGTATTGATGTGCTTCTGGAGAGGTCCCTCTCGAAAAAATGACTCCTGGCAATAGGAACACTTAAAAGGACGTTCTCCTGTGTGGCTGCGGTGGACGTGTAGCTGAAGTGTTCTATTGTGCGAAAAGGACTTCTCGCACTGGGAACATTTGAATGATCGTTCTTTTGTATGGGTCCGAATGTGTAGTTGAAGGGATTTGTTTTTTGAAAAGGCCTTTTGACAGTGGGAACACTTGTAAGAAAATGCTTTACGGGCATTCTCCGCATTGCCTTGGTCATCAGATTTTTTGTTGAATTCTTCACATTTTATTAGGAAGTTTGAGTGATTAACTTCAAAATCAATAATACTGAGATGATCTTCCGTGAATATGTCTTCTTCAATTGGCTCGTTTTTGACTTGATTGCAGAACTGCTCTTTCATTACTTCGACGTTATCTTCATTTGTATACACACTTTCTCCTTTATCCACCTTTACAGCTATCGTACCCTTGCCGAAACTAGTACACTTATTTCCAGATATTCCATTTTTCAACTGACAGAAGATCCGGTGGCTCTTCTCGTAACGTTGCTTTATCTCAAATGCATTTTGTGCATCTTTAAAGCAATCGCTGCAAATGGTGTCGGGGAGCGAATCTCCTATAGAAACGTCAAAGCCAGTACAATCAGAAATCATTTCCGCAATGGAAACGCTTCCTCCCGTCATTCCATTAAATATATTGACCATGTTTTCTGACGTTCCCAGGCAAACCCGACAGATTTCCCTGTAATGGAAATGAAACCAATGAAACAATTTTTGTTAGCGAAACTATATTGAAGCTTACATTGTTATATTATTCCATATAATATGGTTGTGGGGATCTGGCGGTGGATTGTCTAAGCACTGGCAGCCAGTTGGATATTTATTGCTTGCGGCCAATTCTGAAGGCTCCATTTCATTCCAGATGTGTTTAATTTTTGTTGACTGCCGAAAAGTATGCCCGTTTCTAGGAAAAGAACATTGTCAAAAGAGTTTTTTAAAATATTTAGTATAAAAAATATCAGAAAATACTAATCATAGTATTTCTATATTTTTATAAAAATCTAATAACACTTCTATGACTTAAAAAAAAAAAAAAAAAAAAAAAAAAAACTCAGGTTAGACAAAATATTAAAATTAAATATAAATGTATATATAAAAAAAAAACATATTTTGTTTACTTTTCGGATTACTTAACATATTAGTTTCCGATCGTTATTTCTCCAAGTCTGAAAAGTGTAATTAGATTTTTAAATTGGAGGCTCATAAACATGCTTAACATCATTATTACACACTATAAACTGTGCTATTCTACTTTTACCAGAATAGAGTTAGATAATTAACCGAAAATAATTTTTAAAAAAATCGAGGTGCGTGTACATGATAAGAACATTTCGATAACGCCTTGCGGTATCGTTTGACAGCTCAGATGCAGTCACTCTAAATTGGACACGTCGACGTCGGCTGCTTGGTCGTTTCTTTCATTCGGTTTATGAAATTTGAAGCGTTCGATACGCAAGTGAGACTTTCTAATTTGTGTATAGAAAGTGCAGTAATTCAAGTCCCACACACTAAATCAGGAAAAACACAATGGGAAGTAAGTAAATCGACGAAGAGCAGTGGCAATCGGGAAAGAGCAGCAGAAAAAGCAGTGAAAAAGTGCCGCCTTTACAATGCCGCTTGCACCCCCGTCACTCTTTGCTTACGTATACAAAAAGATTTCGGCGTGCGCCCTTAATTGTGCCTAAACCGTTGGCTGGTGAAAGAAAACAAAGCCCGTCTAATTCAAGTTCATTTCATCCACCATTTGCAGTAAAATTCCTGGAAGTAATTAAACCCTTCTGCAGTATACTGCCGGAAATTGCAAAGCCCGAGCGCAAGGTGTGTATAAATCTGTAATTTAATATAAGACTTATTCTTTGGCTTAAGTAAGGAGTTCCCTGAGTCTGCGTTGAGTAAATAACCACATTCAATTAAATAATTATGCACTATTTTCTTGTGATTTGTAATAATTTTCTACGAGTTTCCCCTACATGCATCTGCCAGTGTTGCCAACACACGCGTTTGGTGGTGGCTTTCACTTGTAGAAAAATGTGAACATCGCCACGCAAACAGTTTGGGTTTCATTTCAATCAAACCACCACTCTTTTTAATGAACTGCAACCAAAATGTGTTTTGATGAGTCCACGGTATTAACGTGGTTGCCCTAATGATTTTCTTTTTCTATTTTATAGCGACTTTCATTCATAATTTTTGACATATTCCACTTGATTTCTTCTACTACTTTTCTTATCACCTTGCTACTTGTTGCCATACTCCTATTTAACGCACACACACACACACATATGTCGGCATAGTGACAAACAAACGCTACGTGGAAATGTCAAACTTCGGCTCCCGAAGCTGACAACCCGAAGCACTGTCGACGTCAGCTTCGTTTGTTTTTGTGGCTCGCCATATGATGTGCCGACAACGAAGAAGTTAACTGGATTTGTTTAAAAATTAAATACATACATACAAGCATATGTATTATATGTAGGTCAATGAAGTGGTAATTTTACTTTTCGTGTCATCTTTTAAGTGAGTTATAACATAATATTCTAATTTGATCCATTATTCACCTAAAATATTATGGGACAAAGCGTATATTTTTTATTAATAATATTCAATATAATTTAAGATAGTTAACATACAAAAAGTAAAAAGAAAACATTTGCTTTTTTTTTTATAAGTTTATAATTAAAACAACACTCTTTTCCAGATCCAATTCAGGGAGAAAGTGCTATGGACTGCGATCACACTGTTCATTTTCCTGGTATGCTGTCAAATCCCGCTTTTTGGCATCATGAGCTCAGACTCGGCGGATCCCTTCTACTGGATCCGCGTTATCCTGGCCTCGAACCGTGGTACCCTCATGGAGCTGGGTATTTCTCCCATCGTGACCTCCGGTCTGATCATGCAGCTGCTGGCCGGAGCTAAGATCATTGAGGTCGGTGACACACCCAAGGATCGGGCCTTGTTCAACGGCGCACAGAAATTGTTCGGCATGGTGATCACCATCGGCCAGGCTATCGTGTATGTCATGACCGGCATGTACGGCGATCCGTCCGAGATCGGAGCCGGTGTCTGCCTGCTGATCATCATCCAGCTGTTCGCTGCTGGACTGATTGTCCTGCTGCTGGACGAGCTGCTGCAGAAGGGTTACGGTTTGGGATCTGGCATTTCTCTCTTCATCGCCACCAATATTTGCGAGACGATCGTGTGGAAGGCGTTCAGCCCTACCACCGTTACGACAGGACGCGGCACAGAGTTCGAGGGCGCTGTGATTGCCCTGTTCCACCTGATGGCCACCAGAAACGATAAGGTGCGCGCCCTGCGTGAGGCCTTCTACCGCCAGAACCTGCCCAATCTGATGAACCTGCTCGCCACCGTGCTGGTGTTTGCTGTGGTCATATACTTCCAAGGCTTCCGCGTGGACCTACCCATCAAGAGTGCCCGCTACCGCGGCCAGTACAGCAGCTACCCCATTAAGCTGTTCTACACCTCCAACATTCCCATCATCCTGCAGTCCGCGCTCGTGTCCAACTTGTACGTTATCTCCCAGATGCTGGCTGTTAAGTTCCAGGGCAACTTCTTCATTAACCTTCTGGGTGTGTGGGCCGATGTCGGTGGTGGCGGACCCGCTCGTTCTTACCCCATTGGAGGACTGTGCTACTACCTGTCGCCCCCAGAGAGCGTGGGTCACATCTTGACAGACCCAATTCACGCCCTGCTGTACATCGTCTTCATGCTGGGCTCTTGTGCATTCTTCTCCAAGACATGGATCGATGTGTCTGGCAGTTCTGCCAAGGATGTAAGTAGATCGTTCAAAGCCTTACAAAATATTATTTTAGTTCGTCAAAAATTGAGTCTGATATTAATATTTATTATTATAATTATCATTCTCTAGGTTGCCAAGCAGCTGAAGGAGCAGCACATGGTGATGCGCGGACATCGCGAGAACTCCATGATCCACGAGCTGAACCGCTACATCCCGACGGCGGCAGCCTTCGGCGGCCTCTGCATTGGAGCCCTGTCTGTGATGGCCGATTTCCTGGGCGCTATCGGCTCCGGAACGGGTATCCTGCTGGCGGTGACCATCATCTACCAGTACTTTGAGATTTTCGTTAAGGAACAGTCCGAAATGGGCGGCATGGGCACGCTGCTGTTCTAAGCAGTGGATAACACTCCCGATCCAATCAATTCATCATAGTTCTTTCACAAGCTCGCACTCGCTCCCATTAAAAAACAAACTAAATTTTGCGTTTTGTTTTTCGTTTTCTGTCATGTTTTTTCTGCGTCCTCCAGGCCCTCGCAATAAGCGTACATTTTTAGGCGTTTGGCTGCTATATTCATTTTCCCCAAAACAAACAGAAGAAGCGTACATAAAAACTTTATTTTGAATAGTCTGTAGTTGTATTCAAATGTGAGACTACGTTGCTTAAGTTCAATATTTCTGTGAATTGATTGAATTTTAATGCAATCGCTTGTTTTAATTTTAAATCAATTTAATTATATTTAAAGAAAAACAAAACATGAATGGCGACAATGAAATTATTAAATCGAAAGTGTACATCAAACGAACACATGCATATAAATTGTCATAATAAAAAGTAAATTAGATACCTTTTTTAAATGAACTCTTTGTTTTTTATTTGGATTTGGCGTGGGCTTTGTTTTCGTTTTATAACAGGATCACGTCTGTATTCAAGCCCGAATTTTAAATTGGAGAGCTGCTAACATAAGCTTAAGATATAAAATCCGCAATAAACCGTGAGTAACTCCGAGTTTTATCTTATTATAACGGTTAGTAATTTTTATATTTTATTATAAATTTTAATTCAAAGGTCAGAATTTCTTACATTATTGTAATTATCTTGAAATCTGACAATTGCCCAACATCGATATTAGCACCAATTGTAGTGCTAACCAAGAGCTATAAGTTTAAGTTCTGTAAAATCGGTGATCGGTGTAGGATATATAGATACAAGATGCAGAAAGATGGAAATAGACGAATCTCATTCAATCGGTTGTTTATCAAGAAATGGGAGAGGAAATGTTGTGAGTGATATAAAATCAATAGAGGGACTTTCTAGGATTTTAGGGAGATTCATGGAATATTGATTCATATGCGTATTGATCTATTTAATAATTAAATAAAAGTTAAAAAAATAAAGTCTTGGAACATGATTTTATTCAGTTTGAATGCGAACAAGTGTCGCGTTCAACATCAGAGAGCTGCCCACATCAATTTCGACTAATTACAATAAATACAAGATTATAACTTGTCGCACTAGGAAAAATATATTAAAATAAATAATTACTTACATATATAATTTATAATAACATATATTTCAATCTTTTGCTTTTGATACCAGATCGAATTAGTTTGTTGATTTTTTTTACCTTTAAATATAGTAACCAAAATAACATAATTTTATACTTTTAATGTTAAGCTTAGTCTGAACTGCAAGGGAAAATAGAGTTTATATTCGTAAAGTTGGCTCTCCCTTTTTATTCAATATTATTTTTTAAAAACCTTCAATAGCGATGAGCAATTCAAATATCGATTGTCGATTACACAATCGTTCAGTGTGACTGTGGGTGGTAGCAGAGCAATGGTATTATTTTTGGATCAGCGACTGGTCCTGCTGGGGCAACAACAAAATGAAAAGCAAAAGCGAAGCAAACCGTAAATATTAGCAAATGAGCCACTTTGACGCTCATCCAACGTGTTGAGTTGCAAAGGCACAGAAGCCCCGAAGTGCATTTAACCCCGGCCGCAGCTTAAAGGTGACTCGGATCGACGAGGACGAGGAGATAAAACCAGTGTGCAATCTGCAGCAGAAGCCGCCGCCTCACTGCGACGACTGCTGCCATGTCAGCTCCCCTGGCCAGAAATTGGC